GTTTCAGACTGGTTGACTGCATCTGACAGCAACAGCCTGTTCCCCAGGTGTCATCTCTTGCTAAGGTCTTGCAGCAAACCCCATCTCACACTGACATGTACAGCCAGTGCTGGGTAGACCCATGGACACGGGAGTCTGGGAAGGATAGCAACCAGAATAGGCTGAATCTTCAGAACGATTCCTCTGGATTATAGCTTGCTCCCTCCTCAGATCTAAGTAGCCTTTGGGAAAGAGGATGTCATGGGAAGGTGACAAGAATTCTCGTTGCACAGCCTGCTTGTGATGGATTTCCTGGGGTGATCTTGGGACAAGGTGGGCAGAGAACTGCTGCTCATACAACATGGGTGTTAGACTTGTGCTTCTGGGAGTTGTCAGCCCAGCAGCACACGTGCAGGGTAGTTGTGCATTATGCACAGAGGCAATGAGATTGTGAGAGGAGAAGGGCTGTGGACATGACTTTTCCTGGCCATGGGAGGAAGATACAGTACTTGGCCTTTTCTGTTGGATTAGGTATCTCTTATTCTCAATGGTACTTCAGGAAATACTGTCCTCCTGAAGGGCAGCGAATCGGTGACTCTTCTTTCCATAGAAGTCAACTGTAAATAGATTGTGTATTCTATCCAGAATGAATTGTGATATATAGAAGCTATTTTTTTCCTAGACTGATTTCAGACCTACATGCTTCTTGTAATGTTTACTGATTCAAATTGCCTGTTAAAAATTGGACTATTCCAAATTCACTTAAACTGAGGGTCAGTGTTACCAACTTCAGTTTGGTTACAAATGCTCAGGATACAGGACAGCGAGGGCCAAAACTGACTCATAGTGCACAGATGTCACTGCAGGTTAATCATCACCTCAGATTTGCCAAGTATCCAATGGATTGCTTGAAATGAAACTAGCCGACTGTAATTGTTTTCTGTAGTTACATGACTAACCTCTTAGTTGTCCGTGAAATAATTTTTGAGACCTAATTGCAAATGCAAGATTGCTTTTTGCAGTAAGACAGTCCTCAATGAATTTTGCAGCTAGATGATAAAACTATGATAAAATGCAAAATAACCACGTTGTGTTTGATGGTTTGTGATTTGTCTTGCAGTGCAACTGGAATACAGGGGGTCTCAGAAATAACATTTTTTGGTTTGGTTTTTTTTTTTTTTGGCATATCTTAACACATCAGAAGCAGTTCTTTTAAAAAAGAAGTACGTAGTGCTTGCTGTCTGTTACTAGAGAATCTTAAAAGACAGAATTTGGTCTGTGGAAACTTTTTAGAGCAGTGGTCTGTCTGTAGTACGTTTCTGTGTATGTAGGGTGGAAATAATACTGGTATTGTTTGACTGCTCATTGTCAAAGCATGCTGCAGCTCTATCTCTGGTAAATACCTGCAGTGTCAGACTGCTTTTGTTAACACATGCAGCATGAGTTGATGAGTACTTGTAACAGTCACCCTAAAAGTGGTAGAGGAGAAAAGGGATGCTGGATATACAATAAATCAGTGTTATTCCAACAGAAGGGAGCACTGGGAAAAGAAACAAGTAGAGGATGAAATCGGATTTGCGGTGAGAACAAAGATCTCAGCAAGTAGGGATGAAAACATGATTTCTGTTTGTATTAGTTGTTCTTACAGATACATGTAGCCATGCTCCACAGGTTTTCTGTTTACAGAGAGAAATCAGAAAAGATATTTGCAATTAAGTAAAGAAGTACTTGTTAATTTTGTGAATATAAAACTTTCCTCCTCCCAGACAAATTTTTTTTTACCATCTAGATAAAGTATAGCTGTTGTCTGGCAGTATTAATAGTGATAAAAATAGATTTGAGAAAACTGCTTCAGTTACCCAAAATGCAGTCATATGATTTCTTTTGTCTTGTGTGCTAATGTTAATAGTCTCAGAAGTTTCTGTGCCCTATAAATATTTTAAGTATTGCCGCCTTTTTTCTTCCACAGTGAATGTCATGTGAAAATACTACCATATCTCTTTTTGTTTGAATCTGATTAATAATAGCCAAGTGGCCACAAGCTTTGAAATTTAAATATAAGTATTGTTATTATAGCATTGTACTTACTAGTACTTGTAGTACTTGTACTACACTTTCAACATCTTGCTGAAGAATCTCACAACGGGACAAAAGAACAGTTTTGAAGTTTAAAGGTAGAACTCAAATGGGCAGCAGTAATGTGGTACTCGCCTCTTCTGAAAGAATGGCAGTATTATGCAGAATGCAAAATATAATAAGCTGCTGGCTACCATAAAGAGAAGACTGGATGAGCTGCTGTTCAGTATTACATACATTGGCACCACCTACAATGAGAGGCAGGTGCTGAAAGAGTGCTGTTTTGTCTAATTAAAAAGTGAGGAAGTTATATGAATTTGCCACAGTGGAACTGGGCAACTGGGAACTGGAAGTCACATGTGGATTTTAAAAAAGAAAAAAATTTACCCCCGCTCCCCAAAACTGATGTCTGCATTCATTTTGAAAGGTACTTGAGCTGTGTTAAAAGTAGAATTAACCAATTATTTATATATATAAATAAGTAATGAAAGTTTTAATACTTGTGGAGTATCTTATGTTTTACTGTATTCAATCGGCATTGCTTCTGACATACATGTATAATTTTCTTATTTGAAACTGGAGGTTTGTAGCTGTAGGTAGTTTGGGGTTAAAAAGGAACCCAGTGTTTCCAGGCAGATGTAAACCACTTATTAACTGCCCCTTATTGACATTATTGATTCATTTTTCCCCCCAAAGTTTTGTATACAAAGCTGTCTTCTGTTTGATAATGTGAGTATGTGCAACCACGTGTCATTGAACGAGGGTAACTTTTTAAAGGAGATTTTAACACATTCAAAGTAAGGGCATAATAAAATCTCTTCTCCTCTTTTGCCTTGCTTAGTATGTGAAAAGCGTGGCAAAGATAAAAACAGTGCTTTTCACGTTGAAAGCTGAATTTTGAAGGTAGACACCAGACAAGACCACTTGTCACAAACGGGGGTGTAAATTCCCTTCATCAGTTGTTTCTCGGCTTTTTCTTTTGCCACAGTAAATAAGCTATGTGACTCTAATCAGTTTTACTGTCCAGAGATCTCCACAGCAGCTTTGAATCTGAGCACCTCTTGTTACTTTAGCTGATCGGATAGAAAGTGTGTACAGATTTGGGAGAACACCAGTTGCATATGAAACATTAATTTAAAAGAGAGGACTTAAACTAGTCTTTGAAGGTTATTCAAAGAGTACATTTGGTGTCGTCTTCCTTTATGTACTCAACATGGGTGGAGTTTGTTTCCACATCCCATTCAAAGTGTCATAGAAATTAGGACTTGTCTGAAGGATGTGGTTTGCCCATTGAGAGGGTAGGTGTGCAGTGGAGCTAGTGTTAAGATTCAGGACGTCAGAGGGATGTGTGTTGTAACCTAGATACATGCTTCAGAAAGAGGTGTGGAAAAACATTTTCAGCCTATTTTTTTTTAATTTCATCCACCTGACTATATGGTCAGGGCTTGTGGGCCAAAAGCTTCTAAGCTTTTGAACTTAGAAACATTCCTGACAGTGAAAGGGCAAAGAAGAGTCTTGCAAGTAGGCTTTCTAGGACACAAAAATGCTTTATTCTCTGAATCTCAGACTTTGAAGTAACTGAATATTAGTATGTTCCCTCTCCCTCTGTCTTACAGTGTTCTAACAAAAGCAAACTGCCACCACGGTTTTATTTTTCTTTGTTGTTACTTTCTAAACTTCAGAACTCTTCTTTCTGTGAGCAGTTGTTTTCATTCTCATGTATGAAACAACTAACTGATCTTCAGTTGCACATTCCATGTTGTCACAAGCTTTTTGTACCATTAGCCCAAATGCTTTTTTGTCTGCCTGTTAACCACAGTCTTTTCTGTCAGTTGTGTTTGTGTGGAGTTAGTTCTCGTTGTTATCAAGAATCACTGCATCTCTCCAAGCATGGCCTTAAAGAAAAGTTTATTTTCGTTATCCTGAAATTTGTATCAGATATTAGTTCTTACTAACCCTGATAGCTTGCAAGTGTGCTTGCATGTCTTCAGTTCTTTCTGCTTTTTTTTTTTTTTACTTTCCATGTTCTCCCTTTTGTCTTGCCTTTGCCGAAGTCTGTTTTTAAACAGCATAATCTGGGAAAGTGGTGTTGCTGCTAAGCCTTCTGTTTTAGCATGTAAAACTTTGTATTAAGTGAATTTAAATTAATGTAATAGGTTTTGTTTTCACTTCTGTCAAGTTACAGTTTTGTCACTCATTTAAGATGCTCTAAAATTGCTCTGCTATTGAAAGCTCTGGTCTGACCATGCTCTTCAGTTCATGTACCTTCTAGTTCATGTATCCTTTACATCAGCAGTGTCATCCATACAGATATACAGTCAGTTGAATTAGCTCACTGCTCAGACAGGAAAATGTATACGTGTTGGTTGTTTCTTGGCAGAGGCAGTGCTTAAGATCAGTGAGCTGATGTGAATTCCTGCATGGCTGTCTAGGCACCGGTGTTGATGCCAAGGGGTGTGCGTGGCTGGGGAGGAACCCATTGCTGGGCTCATGCTGAGTGCAGTCTAACTCCGTGCTGGGTCAGAGCTGATTGCGTGTGACAGTGGGGAGCTGTGATGTGTGAGAGCTCAGTCATATGAATTCACAATAGCAGGTAGAGATTAAATAACATCTGAATTGGCGCTGGCTTTTGAATCAAATTAATGTCTAAGCCTTCATTATAAGTTTTAGAAAAAGCTTACATGTAGCTTGACACTGCATCTGCTCTTCAAGTTTTGTCGCTTGTGATTTGCAGTGGAAGTACATAGTCCCTATAGAAATATTATCCAATTAGAAGTAAAATTCCCCAGTGTTCCTTTTGTGTCACTGTGAAATAATTGTTCTAAAATGAATCTAAGTGTGTACAGATTGTATTTTGGGAGAGTTAATTACAAACTGTGTGGTTCAGGGATTTAGTGCAAGAAGAGGAAGAACAGTTGATGGAAGAAAGGAAAAAGAGAAAAGAAGAGAAGAAGAAGAAGGAAGCTGCTCAAAAAAAGGTATGTTGAACATTAAAAAACAAAAACCCGTGCTTATGGGTTACTTTTGTTTCATCACTAGTAAATGCTGGTTTAGCTGTTGTTATTCATAAGTGTTTTCTTTTTAATTTAGTGTTTTAAGCTTTAAATGCACTGTCAGTTACTTAGTGGTAACTGACATTGAATGTCTTAATTGGCTTTGTGTACAGTTTCTTCAGAGATGAAATGTTATTGAGATGACCATTCTTTTTCTTGATTGTCCCTTGAAGCAGTTTCAAGTTTGAAAACTTCCTCAATGTTAGTGCATTTATTAGTAGAAGAAAATTACCTTTCTTTTTTAAGATAATAGCTTTCAGCTGTATCCTTACTTTAACATAACTTCTTGCCCTTCAGTATGGAAATATGTGTCATAAGACAATTTGTATTAGGGAAGGAGGATAAAAATGAAAATACTGACAGGAAAGTTGTTTTGGGATGGAAACATCACAGAAATGCTTGTAAACACTTCAGAATTCCTGTTTACTGTCAAGATATTAATCATGGCCATTGATTCTAAATATTGACCCTAAGCTTGAGAGGAGCTTGTAAATCTGTTTTTAAAAACATGTCCGTTTCAGGTTTGTTTGCTAACTGGTGGTAGCAAAGTGAACCTGTTTAACAGCTTTTCTTTGATTCCATTGACTAATGCTAGATGCTTATTATATAGTCAAAAAATCAGTAGTCAGCTCTCCCTGTTTGTTGGCCTAAATAAAGGTGTTTGTTGTGCACCTGTACAAAATCAGGTAGGTCTAATCTTGCAACAAAGCTAAATGAAATAGTACTGGAGGGATGCTCCTAGAAGAAGTATTTGCTCATATTTCAGAATGAGAGATTCTTTTCAGTAACTGACAGTAAAGCTGCATAATAATTTTTGGACCTCAATTGTACATTTATAACTCATTTACCTATTGGAATTCTTTTTTAATGAGAAGTTTTAACAGGAAAGAAGCTGCTTTACTTGTAGAATTTGAATCTTTTAAATAAGTGGTTCTTCATAGCTGACTTTCTCCTCCAAAATTTAATTTTTTCATGAGTTTGAAAGGCATGTTTGAGTGAAATTTGTAGAAGAAATAAAAGCATAAATATTTTTTTGAAGTGGAGAGACCAGACCTTTGCCTAAAATTGAAAGTTTGCTTATGCTTTCTCCTGCTGTGGAGCACCTGCTAGACTGTTCTTTAGAAGCCACATGTCTTTTTTGATGTGCTGTATTCTCAGAGTAACAAAATGTTGAGTGTGTGGACTTTATCAGGAATTTAAGCAGCTTCTATGGGCAGAGGGGTAGGATGTCACAAGGATGCTCATGTGCATTCCTGGAGAAGCTTAAACGTAATCTAGATTAAAGAGAATATGCCTCTGAAAAACCATGGTAACAAACAACTGCCAGTTAACTTAGCTGTTAAAAAAAAATAAAATGTCTTAGTACAGACGTGGCTTGATTGTAGAGTAAAATGAAAAACTTGTTAATTTAGGTCACAGGGAAGGGAGAATCCCTCTTCTGTTCTGTTAATATTCGTGAGTAGTTTCAGGTTGGCCAAAACTGCTCTTATTGTTTTGTAAGCTAACTTTGTCTGTTTGATCTCTTAAGAACATACTGTTTTGTATTATCAACCATAGCCTCTCTAGCAAAAACTTCAAAGCATTTAACTGTGCACCAAGTACTGATATATTTTGGAAGTCCCTAGCTGAAATATGTTTAAATATTTCTCCTCTTAGAGAATAGCACCGTAGTATAAAAAACAGTCAGTAGCCTTGTCCTATGACCCTTCCTCTTCACTGATCTCTTTGGGTGCTGTGGAACAGCAAAAAAGATTTTGAAAAATTTCAAGTCACAACTGGGGAGAGGGGGTGAGCTTACAGGCTCTCCAGACTAAGCTCTAAACTTTTGCCATGCCTATGCACGAACTGAAGAGGCATCATGTAATCATGCTGTGGAAGGAAAAGCTAACACTTGGGTTTTATATATACTGTAGTTTTTAATTATTGGAACTAAAAGGAGTAGTAGAACAACAGCAGCAATCACAGAGGTATGACACTTAACTTAGAGAAGGATGTTCTGTGCTTGCATCCTGATGCTGAGCACATCAGGGGGACATCAACTGTTGTATTCCATTTACCTTTTTATGACAGTATAAAAACATGTTTTGAACGCTTGGTTCAAAGCCAGCTGCTGTGCATACAGTACCCTGGAGTTCAAAGTGCATACAAAACTTACTAAGTCTTCAAAACAATTTTTTTAACCAGATTTGTTGAACAAAGAGCATAATGAAAAGTTGAGGTGTTATATAGTGGCCCCAAGTACAGCAGCTGCCTTTTGGAAGATGAGGAAGAGGGGCAATGGTATTGGAGGAGTCAGAGTAATAAGGATAAGATAGGCAAAAATGAAAATGAACATGGTGTGGTGTTTTTGATACCCCTGTGTAAGCAGCCATTGGCTTTATTTTTGCTTTCTTAATTCCAGTGGCTGATGCATTGCTGTTAGTAGAATGGATTTTCTTCAGAAGAGATTTTGCAGGCATCTTAGTCTTTAGCTATTTTTAGCACTCTCTAAGAGCATAAATGAAAAAAAAAAAAAACCACAAAAAGCTTATGCTCAAGGTTTCTTGGGAGCAAGAGGCTACATTTTGAACTATTGGACAGTATAACTTAAATTTTTGTATGTATCCTTGCCTTTGTCAGCTTAAGAAGTTGAAGAAGAGGGTTTCCGTTAATGTACTCTTGATTTCCTTGAGAAGTGAGGCTATGGCACTGAAGACTCATTAATAAAGTTTCAGTAGTCAGCCCTAACAGTGCTAATGTCTGAATCTAGCCAAGTCTTACATCAAATCAGTGAATCAATAAATTTTTCCTGCATTCACATGTGCTCTTTTTTCTCTCTCTTCACAGTTTTAATTATAGACAATCATAGCTTAAGTATCGCAAATTTATTGCATACTATTAATATATGCAATATCATCATTAAAATGGGTTGTATACTGCTACCGAAGTGACCATATCAAATTAAATCTAGTTTTGCTTTGGCAGTAGTGCATTTTGAAAGTGGTATTTAATAAAAGTCTAGTTTCAGATAGGAAGAACTATGATTTGTGCTTTTGAGAGGTCCTTTGTGAAATCAGTTTCACTACATTTTATAGTTAAAACTGCACAATTAAGGTGCACTTTCATACAAGAAATGTTTCCGGTTTTATCCTATGATATAATTTTATTCAAATCCATCTGTCCTCTTGGCCTTATCACAGGTGTAACCAGTGGAATCCTGGAAATGAAAGACTTAAAGCTTTTGCATTTACTTTCTTACTTCCTTTAAATTTTGAGGTCCCTCCCTCTTGCCTTGCCATATTCTGCAATAAAAGTGGTGGCGGTTCTTTGCTTCCAGGCACAGTTTTTAACTCACTTAAAACACCTTAATTTGCAAGTTTAATTCAGTCTGTTTCATGTAGTTATCTTTCAAATTAATTTTGTCTTCTATAACATTTAAACAGCTTTCTAGTCATAAGGAGTAATAGGCATGGGTTGGCTAGAGAGACACTTCTGAAGTAGATAATTAAATAACTTTAAAACATTTTAAAAGAGGGAAGTCAAAAGCTAATGTTGCTTTGTGAAGTGGCACGTGCACATGTGGTTTTTCTCTTATCTGCACAAATCACTGACACTTCTTTTTTCTTGTTCTAGGCCATTGAACAAAAAATCAAAGGTAAGTTACTTTAGAGTTGTTTCTATTCTGTATATTATTTCTGTGTTTTTAAATATGTTGGAGCAAAAGGGTTACCTGAAAGCTCTTCTCAAAACTAAAACATAGGATCCTTGAAACTTCAGTTGCACTTTTGCAAACAGTGATCACAAAAGACTAGAGTAATGGCTAAGGGTTTATGCCAGGGATTGGAGTCTGCTGTTCTTCCTATTTTCCATTCTCAGTTACTTATACAGCACCAGGCATATACATAATACCTTGAGTTCTTTTCCTTATTTGTTTTATTCCTTTCCCTTTTTTGCTTTGTTTGAAAAGTGCACAAGCATTCTAACACTTCAAGTATGACCATGTATAGATCCGTGTAACAGATCTGTTTGAAACTTAATTTCCAAATATTCTAAGTGCAACTGGGGTTGGGAATGCTTGCTAGACAAGTAATTGATATGTCTAGTTTTAACTAACTATTGCATGTGGAGGGTTCATCCTGACAAAATGATCAAGATGACAGTATCTGAAAGCTGTAATTTCGATGTTCAGCGGCAGGCTGGGAACACTGCAGTTATTCTGAATGTTTGTGGGTTTTATACAGATCTCCGTTTCAACTGGCTTCTATAAAGGGGAAAAAAAGATTCTTTTCGCTTTCTCTTTAATTCTAGCTCATAACCTGTTAGTTGGGAAGTGGATAATAATTGCATAAGTGATCATGTGGAGTGCTTGCTGAATCCCTGTTTTCTGGGAACATTGGGTTTCATTTAATACTTACTTGAGCAGTGGTAGGAACAGGAGCGTGGAAGCCCTACTTAGCAGAGATGCAATTACTGTTAGAAAAATCAAAAAGTGTTTGAAGTGCTGTTCTGGCATGAAGGTAGTAAAATGGTAGAGGACATACTGCGCTTGAGAAGAGGCAAAGAAACAAATAAAAGTGTCCATTAGTGAGGTGTGCGTTAGAAGAAGCATCCTAGTTCGCATGTGGTTGAAATGGAGGAGGCAGGTTCTCCACATAAAAAATGCGCCAGTTCTCCTGCTGAGGACTGCAGTACCAATTACCAGGTATCAGGAGACACATTTACGTCTAGTTTATTTAAGTGCAAGGTGTACTTTAGCGTGTGTATTTAAATGAAAAAAAAAAAAAAAAATGAGTAGGACCAATAGGTTTTCAGTGTGTGACGATGCTGTCAGCCTGGGTTCTGTGTCTTGGAGTTCTATGTGCTGCTTAGAGGAGGCTGATGTTTTGGTTATGGAGTATTGATCACTTGGGGCAGAGGGAGCTGCCAGACCATGGTGGCTGCAGGGGTTTTAGTGCACCGATCCTACAGCTGATGTCAGTAATGGAAGCTTATGTTCTATATGTGCAACAATCCTGTGGGTTTCATTGGGCTGACTGTAGGTCCTGGCCCTTCCAACCTGGCTCTGGTCACTGAAATCAACTGGGAATTCTATGTTTGTCTTTAGGCACAGGACTGAATACTTAATAAAATTGCTGGAAGAGTATTATAATTATTCTTCATTTGTTTTTTTTTTTAAAGCACCCTTATTCAAGCAGCACATGGAATTGCATTTGAAGTACAGGCTAAGCATTTGTTTTCTTCTGTATGTTCCTGCAATAAGGCTTCTAAGATAATATACCAGATTTAAAGAATCATGGAAGTGTTTGGTTTTATTCTAAAGTAATAAAATGTATCTGAAAAGATAGTGAAGAAGGAAAATGATAAAATACTTTGCAGTAAATAATAATGTCCGTTTTGAATGAACATTTGACCTATGTACTTACGCTGCACTGGCATCCATGCGTCACGTAAGGGACGAGGCTGCAAAAGCAAATGACTAAAAATAGCATGAAGGCAGGAGGGCAGTAATTCTGCTCAGTAGGCTACCTGATGGTAATCTTCAAATTGAAAGAAAATGCCTTTCTTTTGAAGGACAGAGTAAATTTTTTTTTCCCCGTTTTCTCCTTGGAGGCTTAATGTTTACTGATGGAAGTATTAAGTTCCAACTTTAATGTTACATTATTATTAAAAGGGTATTTCAGGAAGTTTAGCAGGAATTTAGAGTTGTCAAAGAAATGCAAGCTGGCAGTCCTTCTGAAGAAGAACAGACGTGAGATTCAGATGCAGGACTTTTTGCAACAGTTTCTATAGGAACAAAATTCATTGCTTGTGTTGCACATAGATCCTTCATTGTTTCAACAGTTTTGCCTACTTGTATTCAGGATGCAAATTAATGTTTCATTAGCTTCCAAGTTTCCATCGTGTTAATGTCTTAAATAATTTATTCTGTGCATGAGCTGAAGATAAAATACAAGCGTATAGGATCTCTAAATTATTCAGAATTATGTTCCTTCTTTCAGAAAAGTAGCTGGTTAAGTGGTGGGGGTGGGTAGGGAGGTTATTTCTTGTTTTTAAGCATAGTTTGGATGGCTCCAAAATGTTGTTTTAGCTAAGGTAGGAATTACTGTTGTACCAGCTGAAGTAGCTACCAGTGTGCATGTAAAATTATAAGACTACCTTCCGAGGAAGTTAGTAGTACTGATTTTTTTTCCTGTTCAGAATTAGGAATGGAATTAATGAAGATGATGCTAATATAAGTGTTTCTGGTACAAGTAGCATTTTAATACTGTAGTATCGTCATTAAAAATGCATGTATGTCAGTGCCATGGATTTCAAATATTCTAACCTGTCTAGTTTTATACATCTGGTTTTATTAAAAGTAGGAAGTTCACAGGATTTAGAGATGAATGCATTATTTAGTTGCTAAGTGGAAGGTTTCTCTATTTGTGCAGCAGCTAGCATAGCAAATTTGTACATCGACAGGTGCCCTCCAAGTGCTCTTGTACCAGGTATTTTAGGAAAAAATAAGTATCATTTGGAAGTCCTTATTTGTTGAGAATACTGTAGAATTGTCAATTGTTGTGGTGTTCCTTCTAGCTTGGCAAAATACATATTTTTACTGTGTTTAATGTCAGTGCTATTAAAGACAGACAAATCAATCCATTTACCCTGAATTTCTCCTAAAACAAGATTCTGCAAACCGCACTGTGGCCACGAGTAGCTAATGATAAGCCAAGCGCTAAAGTAAATGCTATTTAAGAAGAATGTTTGAGTTTTGTTGTATATGCTCACTTCAGTAATCATGGTGTACTTCTGCAGAATGAGGTTTCATTATGAGATGAAGTATCTTTTTGCACACACTTCAGTGTGTGTCCATAATATCCTACTGGAGTAATTTATAAAATTTGAACAGCAATGTTGATGCTAGCATTGTGGTTAGTTGTTCTGAATGCTTTTGTGCTTTGCAAAACAGTACAAGCTAGAGCTGAAAACATCTGTCAGTCTTCAGTTCTGAATTCCCCTGCTTTGTAGAAGGCAGAGGCATAAAGTACTATTTTTTGAATTGCAGAACAGAATAAACTTTGAATCAACCACTGAAACGGAAAGTGCTTTTAAAAATAGCTGGGTGTGGAATTGAAATCTTTGACTCATATTTCCCACCTTGGAAACTTCTTATTCATTTTCTTCTCTGTGAAGCAAAATTGCCTGAATACACTAACTCTTCTGTTTTTTGTCAAGTGTTTTTTTTTTCACTTGCCTAACTGTGCTTTTCCTGATTGGAAAAACTGTTATGTTAGCTTTTAAATCTTGAAAGCGAATAGCAAAAATGAACAGAATCACAAATGCTTGCTGTTAAAATTGCCCGTAGGAATAGCATACAACTTACCTTTGTGCGGATCTTCAGGGGTTAATGAATTGGCAAACAGTTAGATATTTTCCAGATCAGCTAGCTGAGCTTACAGCTGCGGCCATTTTTCCACAACGAAAATTCTAGCACTACATCTTACGTGTGTCAGCTTGAAAGCCAGACTTCCTCTGTTTGCCCTTCAGCATTCCAGCACTGACAACTCTTTGGGGCATGACATGCAGGGAGAGAGCATTACAATACATTTTTAAGAGGTCGGCTTCAGCAGCAGCAAGAAGAAACATTTAAATGACAGCTTGGTGCTGTTCTTTGTGTGGTTTAGTAGACGATTTGATCTTTGTACGCTGATTTTGTGCGAGTGAGAAACTGTTTTCCATCTGCATTAAAGTTATTCAAACAGCTGCCATTTTTTTTATTGGAGGGGGAGTTTAAGTCACTGGGCCCCTACTCCAGGAGGAGTTGGCAGGCAGCACTCCTGGAGCAGTAAAATGACACCATGCTTCTCCTCCATTTTCTAATGAAATCTGCAGAGTGGGAAAGCAACACAAGTTGGAAGCGTCTTTCTTTGGAATCTCTCTGTAAACTGTAACTTCACCATCCCCTGCTTTGTGGGTTTTCAGCAGGTTTGTTCTTTATGAAAATCTGTCATTTTTAATTTTTGTTTCTGTAAACTTGCTATTACTAGTCAAGTAAATTAACTGTGATAGACTGTAAGTCTGTTAATATTATCTTTCTGCCGTAATATAATTCAGAATAAAATACTGGTGTGCAGAACAAACTTTTATTAAACAAGCAACTTGTTTATAACAGAATAAAATATTAAGATAATAATTAAAGGGTGTTGGAATTTATAGTAGCCATATTGGGATATTAATGTATTATTTAGTCTTCTGAGAAGTTGTGGGCCAGAAAATGTTGGACAAGATAAATTGTATAGCTTAAAACTTACTCTGTGGTACTTAGGGAAGCGAAGGCAAGGGAATTCTTTTGCACTTCTGATTAATTTTAGTTTGAAATTAACATATGAATGTAAACCCTGCATATTCTTTAGTATAACTGTATTATCTGGTAGATTTCTATTTAGTTTGCTGATAATAGAAAGAATTACCATATTTGCTAAAGAAATGAAGGCATAGAATATATGAGAAATACAATTTTCTTAAGCTGTTTGTGAAGTCTTGTTCATGTCGTAGCTTAGGGGTTGGCTTGGCAGAAAGTACCTTGTTTATTAGTTGCACTCTTTTATAGCCGAAAGTGATTCGATTACCTGCAAGTCCATTGGATTCTGTTATAATACGCACTTTGTCTTACTTTGTCTTAAAGTAGCTTTAATTAGGAAAGTAAAGTATTAATGTAGCTGTGTTGCAGTACTGCTCTAAGCATGCTACTTGCAACTCTGTTTGGATGTCTCATGGAATGTCATATAGAAATGATTTTACTTTATCTGAGAGGAGAAATTGTACATGAATGCAAGTAGTCGTGTAGGAAAACTGAATCTCTTTCATTGACCGTGTTATGGGGTGTTTTGTGTTGGATTAAAAAACTATTTAAGCAAGGTATACTTTCCACTTAAGCTGACAGTAAAAAAAAACAAAAACCCACCAACCAAAAAAAACCAACAACCAAGCCAAAAAACTTAAATACAGTGTGCAGAAGGCTAAAGGATGTATGTGTCCTTAAGTAGTGTCATTACCATATAACTACTTTGCTGGCTTGATAATGATATACTGGCTGCAAAAAGTGGTTGTTTTTTGCATATCACTGTCAGTACACCTCAGGTGTAGGCTGAACTGTGCTTTAAACTGTAGAGAGTAATTAGCATGAATCAGTTGCAGCAGAAGGCAAATTGATAGATCAAAAAGTTAAGATTTGGGCAGTAGTTACGCAGATTGTGGTATGTGAAGGATTTTTTTTTTTTTCCCAAAGCTTGTTGCAGTACCTAGAGCACAGAAGTGTGCTAAGTGTTTATGCATTAAATTGTTGACAAATTCTTAGCTATGTGCTAAAATAGCTCTTTCCCCCCCCCAGACTTAGTAATTTTCAGTTATTTTAATTATTTTTAAACCAGGAAATTTGAAAAGGAATAAATGGACATAGATTTGTTTAAGACTTCTTTGTATTTGTGAAATTCAGTTTTGATCAAAATTTGTTGTTGCATTATATGCATCAAAACATTGTGCAAGGAATCTGCTCTGAGTTACCTACTCTTTTAATATAGGTAACAACTTAAATTGATGGAATCTGATATGGTGTTGGTGATTTTTATCAACTTGCCAATTTATCTAATAGCTCTTGAATACCTTCTATTCCCCGTGCTCTGTACATTAAATTGACGTATGTCTTGGCCATTCCTCTCCTTAATTCTGTCCTTCTCCAGTCAGCTGTGAAATAGAGAGAGCTGGGCTGGTGCTGTGTCAGGGCAGGGGATATGGTGGGGCTGTGGAGTGAGGGTGTTGGTGAGCAGCTGGAGCTGGGTACTCTTCCTCTCCCCTTGAGACTTCTGGCAAAGGCCTGTATCTGGCCACCTGTGAAACAAGGAGGGCTCTCAAGTTTTTTTGTTTCTGCTTTTCTTAAGTAGCCTAAATGTAGTATTCCATTAAAACACAACTCGGATGCTGATGCTTAGGTGACGTTTTATTCTAAAGGCCTTCACGTTTGTATTTTTCAAAATATGTAACCGTGTATTATAGTAGAAATAAAAAGAAGTTACAATCATAAGTAATACTGACAGTATTCAAATTGATTCTTTAAACAAAAGCTTAAGGAGTTTGTTTTCATTTATTTTTTATGTTGTATTCACATGAATCTATTCCTGAAAATGAATGATAAAATGGTCTTTAAACAAAACCAAAAAATTTTAAAAGCCCCAGAAAACTACACTGTCAGTCATATAGTAACAGTATTCCTGCTTCTGACATGCTGGGAGATTGTTAAATGGAACACAGCAGGGAAATGGTTTGAGGATGCTGCTTTTAAGCCTCAAGTCATGTATGTTTAGATGCTGCCAATGTGCAAAACTATTCTTGAAAATAAAGGCAGCCTTATAGTAACTGAAACCTAATTAGCAATTGGGAGCTGCCTCACCCAGCAGTGCAGAGCGAGAGCCCTTGCTTGTCCTGAGCAGTAGTGCCTGCCTCAGTTTCCCTCTTTCCCAGCACACAGGATCGGTCCTCTTCCGTAGCCTGCCACCACCTTAGAGAAGCCGATGGAGCAGTTTGATGGAGCTGCGTCCTGAAGTCTTCTCTCGTAGGATCTCCATGAAAAAAATGCGGGGATGAATTTACCCTGGGTCACTTTTCCCCGCTGTTGTCTGTACAGGCCCAGAAAGGGTTGTGTTGCTGAGGAAGGAGTGACGTGTAGCTAGTAGGAACATCTTTAAATGTTTGTCGTCAGAGAAGTTGCATTACTGAGATTTGCCCTTGCTGTTAGCAGCAGGAATGCTGCACAGATTAAACTATTTTCCTTCAGTAACTTCTAAAACTGTTAGTTTCGTTTTGTGAAGTTCTGAGTTGAGATGGTGACTTGACCGCGTAGGGAGGTCAGTGCTGGGGGAAGTCACGATGGGGTCTTGAGGTATCTTGGAAAATTCCACAGTAAATGTAAACGCGCTTTATGGGTATCTCATCCAAGAAGTTTGAAAAGTACATTAACGTATCAGTGCAAGGATTGGAAGTACAGTTTACCTGTTACGGTGGTTGGGATGAATGGCAGTAGCACCAGGAAACGCATCCAGTAGCTCACATGTTCCTTCATATCTGTTGAGCCTGGTTTACTGACCAGTTACCTCCACCTGTACACCCCCATACTTGCCATCTTTGCTTTCGCACTGGCTGGGGTGGAGGTGTTGAGTTGAGGATGTTGTGGTTTTCCCTTTATTCAGCATCCGAGTTTGGTGTGTTCACTCACAGCTGACCTCTGCAAACTATTTGACCTTCATCTTGCCTTGAAGTGGCTGTGCTGTCAAGACTGAAAGATAATTTGGAGCTGTGGTTGCACATTTGGCATTTTATCAATGCTGGCACAGTCTTGCCAAGCTGTGTATGGGGGTTACCTGTGCCGTTAGCTTTTCCTGCTGGCAACAGATTGACTTAAGGGTATTAATTTGGACGTTAGGACTGATAAAGCAGGCAAGTCTTAACAATGCGTTCTGTATGTCCTGTTCACCTCTTGTTGTTTTGGGGCAAGACTGTAACATTTTTCTATGTGTAACACTTAAGTTTCCCATTGGAGTAAGTTTTTTTTGTTGTGGTGGTTTTTTTAGTACTTAAGTATTTTTTAAAATAAAGTTTAAATGCCGAAATAAACTGGCATAGTGCTGATTTGTCAGGAAAAGCTACAGAAAGCTTGTTAGTAGTAGCATACTTTAATGGAGATAACTTTGTTAGAAGTGATAGCAAGACATATTTCTGCTTCCAGATCTGTGCTATTAAAGCTGTGTGATTACGGGATAATAGAGCTTTTAGTGGGGAATGAGTTACAACTTGAATCACAAAAAAAAAAAATGCTGCCATTACATAATACATAAACACATCTGAGAATATTGACTTAGTCTTCAACTTTTTAAGTTGCTGTTCTTATGAATAACTTTGTCCAACTTTCTTTTTTTTGGGGGTGGGGGTAGTGCCAGAACAAACAAAGACAAGTGTAAGCCAGCCTCAGCCTGTCACCTCTAACGGCACTTCCACAGTAACCAGCACTAATAATAATGCCAAGCGGGCCACAGCCAACAGTCAGCAGCAGCAGACCTTGCCTCGATACCCTCCTCGTGAAGTACCACCACGATTTCGACACCAGGAACAGAAACAGCTTCTGAAACGAGGTCAGCAGTTACCAGTTATAGCTGCAAACCTGGGATCTACTCCTAAAGTATTAAACGGCCAGTCAGGAGGCAGCACTGTCACAAATAAACAGCCAGTGACCAACGGAGAAGTGCCGAACAGCAGCAAAAAACAGCCAGGTGAGGGGGAGGTACCTTGTTTTCCTTTAACTGAAATCAAATAGTTTAAATTCAATTATCAGTGAAATATTTGAGCTAATATTATTTAAACCTTAAATGTAAGCTGTAGCATGATGAGATATTTTCCTATGTCGTAGCTTAATATTAAACGTTGCAGGATGGTTTCAGCCATCTTTGTGCACGTTTCATGCTGAAACTTAAGATGTCTTAGTTGCTCATTGTTGCTAGCGGTGTACAATAGACGTGTCTATTTTTGAACAGATGTTGAAGCCAGTATCACCACTGCTATGTTCTGAATTTCCAGTCTTTATCCTAATAATTGATCCAAGCGTGGCCATGTTAAGAAGCATCTTTTTTGCATCGAGTTTTGGTACATAGATCTCACAAGGAAGGGCCTTTCAGACAGTTCCCAGAGCATTCTGAACAGCATTTCAAAGACTTTTTTTTTTTCCCCTTCATATCTAGAGATACAGCTAGGGCATCACTTGTGTAGAATATCAGAATTGCTTTTTGTTGTTAGGTCAGTGTTTTTCTTTGTTCATCTACCTGAAGCTTGGTTGTCTTACAAACTGGATCAACCTTTACCTTTATTGATATTACTATTTAAGTATAGTTATCCTTTGTTATTTTGGCTTGTTATGCATTCTTTTCAAATACCCTTTTAAGAGTAAACTTACCTGTTACATGTGCGTAATTTGCCATTCAGTGAATGTACTAGCATGCAGTTCAGCAAATTTTTTGGGACAATACGGTCAGTCTATTTTTGGCTGGAAAAAAAGTAACTTTCTTTGTAGGGATCTTGATTTTTTTTTTTTGAACAGGTTTGGTATTAATGCATGCTAATGCTTAATATTTTGGGCAAATACTTTCTTATTTTTATACTTGTATTTTCTGATGTGCACACAGCAGTGATGATGTAACTTGTTCCCAAAGATAGTTTCTTCTGAAACTTTACTGAATTCCCAGTGTTTCTCGAAGTTAACGTTTTATACACCACAAAGGATGTGACTCCTAGCCCCTTCAGTTAAAAAAAAAGATTTCTGGAAAATAGCCTTGGTATTTCAAGTTTTAGTTAAATTTTGAGCTGTTCTGATTACTGAATCTTGAAGAAGTAGTATTTAAAATGAAAGTAAACAATCAAAGCATTGGAAGCAGTTTATCCATGTGCCCCTTGAGGAATGTTTCCAATATTACTTTCCAGTATTATTTTTGTAACATACTGATAGAACTCTTTACCATTCCAAGAAGTAATTTTTAAGTAGTTAATTTTTTTTTTTACTTCACCTGTGTACTTTGTTCCTGTCTATAGTCAGGTTTAAAGTAACTTTCATATACTTGCTTGCTTCTAAGATGAAACTTTCTCTCCAGCATATATCCTCTACTGGTCAAATTATATGGTAGCAAGTAGTGATTTAAATAAAAATTCACAAGTAAACTAATTTAAGAAGTATTACTCTCTATACAATCTATTAAACCTCCTAATTGTATCCAGAGGATTTTTTGAATGTACTGTCGTTCATTTCACTTCTTTTGTGAACGCCAGCCCAATATTTAATTAGTTGGGTTCCCATTTGTGTATTGCATTCTTCCGTTTTGCTTAATTTTGTGATGATGTGGCTGGACAGCCTTTAGGCTGGGAGATGTCAATGTGTCCCTGTGTGGTACTGCCACAATGCTATACTGAGCATCTGAGGCAGCTGCTTTACTGGGAGTAGTTCCGCAGTTTGAATAATATGTTAATTACTTGAATAATATGTCTGCACGTCCAGCTGGTAAGGAGAAGGTTCTGAGAGCCTTTAGGGAGGAGGAAGGTTGGCCAAATCACTTTCCCATTTTAAGAAAATGTTTGTGTTGTCTGTAGCATCCTGTCAGATCTTTAACTCTGGGCTATGCTGCTTGGGGCGTTCCCATGTGTGCAAGGTAAACTCATCAGAACCGACGAGTGGGGTTGGGCACCCAGGGTCTCACTTCTTGGTGCCATGTATCTGTATGCTTGAAAGATCCCTTTCCTCTACTATAACCGGGAACTGGATGTCTGGTTTGGATGTTTTGTCACGTTCTTTGAGAAGTGTAGGTAAGATGATAACGTAAAGGAAAATAATTTTTCAGTGCTGGGTTTTTGTAATGGTTTCAAAATCTTCTCTGATGAATTGCCTGTGAGGTAATGTGGAGGTGGCCATAGTCCAGCAGCACGCAAGAGTGACTTAATGTCTTTTGACATCTTTGTATGTGAAAGTGAATACTACTTTCATTTGCCTGTCTCAGTCTTACTCACTCACTCTCCCTAGTTCCTCTTTTAGCCTTCAGCGGAAACTTCTAGGTACTCTCCTTGTTATCTCTGAAATTAAAAATCTCATGAAATTTGGCATATCTGTAGATACCTTCCTATTGAAAGAGTATCTATGTACGGGCCATTTGGGTTAACAAATTTTATACCTTAATGGAATATCTTTGAAGATTGTTAAGTTCTTGACTTTTTTTTTTTTTTTTAAAGAAAAACTGTAGCTTGAAGTGTTGAAGTCAAAATTGCTGGAATAGGTAATGGTTCCAGTTGTTTTATCTGTCATTCCCTGACAGACCCTGGGATAGGATCTCCCCCCAGTTCCAGCTGTGGTTATAACTGTTTGGTAGGTCCTTTGTAAAAGCCAGGGAACACAACTACTGCTAAATTTAAAGTCATCTTTAGTTGCCCTGGCCGCAGTAAGTTTTTAAGTCTTCAGTATTTGAGAATTTTTTAATTATATCAATGGTCAGAAAAAAACCATCTCTTTACATGTGTTTTGCATGGACAATCATCTTCTCTTTTGAAAATTAACCTGCTTTGTTTATAAGTAAAGCTCAAGAAGGGATAGTGCTATGGGTTCGTTGTTTCTCTGCTGTTTTTAGGACATTTGGCATATCTTTTTAATAAAGACACATAAGTGAAGCTCATGCCATGTAGTACTTCTGAAATAGTGTCTTGTACCAAGGTGGTTATTTTAAGAAGTCTACATAAGTAGCTCTTTATCAGAACATTTTCATACCCAGTTCAGTTGTTTGCTTTACTGAAATTTTCTGCCATGTGTAAACTTCATATGAAAGAAAGATCTTGAATGCTGCCTTGGTATGTTTGTTTGCCTCTATGCTATGTAACACATCAGAATAGCCAGGTGGTTATTCCACAATGAAATGATTTATATAGTGAACTAAAATATTTGCCAGCAGTAATTGCTTACAACTGTGGGACTGAACAAAACAGGAGAGTACCATCAGGCTCTTGGCCTTAGTCCAGTTATGTGGATTCCTCCGTTGACGCGAGTAGGTCTCGCTTTATTGTTGTGCATCTTGCAGCAGAGCTGCAAAGTTATGTTACAGTCAGAGCCTTTGGAAACAAAAGATTCTTCCTGTAACTTGAGGTTTTTTTCTCAGTTATTGTATGAATTGGGGAAGAAGTAAGCAGCTGGGATATGCAGTTAGTAGTAATGGAGGTTGACTTAATTTAGGAAAGGTTGACTTAATTTAGGAAACATTGCCTTAAATGTAACACTTATAGTCTCCAACAGTAAAATTTGTGAATTTGAAACATTGATTTCATATGCTGCCTATAGGACACTTAGGAGGAAGAAACTATGAAAGAGTGGTAAATAAAAGTTTGTTATGCACACACTTAGGTTAAATCAGAGTTAGACTGTACGTAGTTACTTGTTTGCTAAATCAGGTAGCAAACTAATGATTTTCAGGTGGAGAAAGCATGCTATTCAAAGAAGTGTTATTGACTTGCTTAAGTTTCGGGGCTGACCTCTGAAATCTAAGTTAGTACAGTCAAAAATTAACTGGTTTTGGTTTCGATGACTCTAAATTCTTCCTCTTTTTTATATAAATCAAATTTAAGGACATGTTAAATTGGTTAATTAAATGCCAAATGTATAAAAACTAACTAGTAGTGGAAATACTTAGTGAAAGCAGCAGAATTGCTAATAATTAAATATAAATGCTACATGTAGAAAGCTGGATTTGCCATCAGTGTATCTCTTCCCTGTGTTGTAATCAGCACTGTTGGTGTTTGCAATTCAGAACTTGCTCGTCGCTAGCATGGTCAGTAAGATTGAGAGATGGTGCTTAAGAGAAACCTTTACTGAAAAAGGGGTGCTAATAAATGGTTTTAAAGTAATGAGTGGTTTGGGGACTGTTCTCAAAGGGCTAGTTTACTTAAGTAACACTTCTGTAATTTTCTTGCTCTTTTGTTTTTTTGTTTTGTTTTGTAGGCATGCCTCCCATTCGGGACTTGGTGAGCCACTCCCCTAACCAGTCAGGTTAGCTATTTAAATCTCACTTTTTTTTTTCTCCTCCACTATGTGTGTTTGTAGTAGTTACATGTTTCACACAACTTTGTCTGGTTTGGTTGGTGGGGGGGGTCCTAATTTTTTCATTCTTTGGCTTATGTTTTTCAATAGCATGTGCTGTATGAATGACTGACTTAAGTATACTTTCTCTATGGCATTACATGCTGTTTGGTTAAACTTTTTTAGTTTTCTAAAATAACATCAGAATTCATACCAAAACAGATGTTTTGACAATGTGACACCTTAGCTTTAAAATACTAAGTGTCTTTTTTTACCTTTGTGCTTAAATGTTAAATTGCCTCTTTGTGGTATTAAATTGAATAATCTGTGCAAGCCTGTGTTTTATATCAGAGACATTTCACAGCGCTGGAGGAAATCACGTCTTGGGGCCTTTCTATTTTGAATGCTGAGTTTATGCTGGGGTGGCATGTATGTATGTGGAGGCCTCCACAGATGTGTATGTTTTTTACGGGGTATGATTGTGAAGAACACTTGCTGTTCATTTCTAAGTAATATTTTGGAGCAAATGTGCTGTGTGAGGACTTGGGGACATGCCATACGAAATGCTCTGGAGGAACGCAGACAGTGCTGTTGGGTGGTTTGTACTGGCTCTGTTCCTGGCTGTGCCGTGTACCCATCAGGCTGCTGTGGGCACAGCGCTTAGGAGAACGTTTCATGTTGCATCTCTTCTGTTTACCTCGAAGACTGCTCTCAAAGGGGTGATGTTAAACCTCCTCTCCTCTTCCCTCCCCTCTCTTCCCTTGTGTTGAATTTGGCCACTTAGCGAGTCTGCAGTGCTGCAGGGCTGCTGGGTCCAGCACAAGTTGGGGCCAGAGCCCTGGCTGGGGGAGAGAAGAGGGGAGAGAGGCAGAGCGTGCAGGACGGTGTCTTTTAGGAGAGCCGCCAGTTGTGCTGGGTTAGGCACAGAGGGACACTGTATCCTTGTCCTGGCAGCTTTCCTGTCCTGCATTTACAGTTAGGAAACTATTGTGGAGGCAAACAGCTACATCTACCAATTCTTGAGTTGGAGTATTTTAAGAAGACACAGACAGACTTCAAGACTTTTTTCTCTACCACAGAGAAAAAGATATGTGATGCTAACAAACACGGGGTTTTTTTTTGGTTCTGTCATTTCATAATAACGGTGCTTTTTATCTTGTTTACTAAAAGCTGAAAAGCTTGTTTACTAAAATGTATTTTTTCATAAGGACCAATGGTACAATAATTGGCAAGGTATAGTATTGACAGTCTGTGGGTACCACTATGTACTGGAACTGGAAAAGGAGAGAGAGGGAGCAAGATTCAGGTATTTCTTAATTTACACTTCTCAGTCTTACTGTTTATTTTAGACCATGTGATGGTACTTTAAAACAAGCAAGCTACTTTAGAAAATACCTTTCCTGCAAGCATTTCCTGTGGGGATAACTCATAGCTAGAAAGCATTAAATTATTAAATTACAAATTATTGAAAAAAATCTTAGCAGATTACTGAATTTTAAGAAACACAGGTTTGTGTAATTTTTTTTTTTTTTGTCCAGGATTTAAGCAGCAGAAGTTCAGTTGCAACTTCTAAATAGTTTTGGGGAGAAAACCAAGAATAGGCTGTTACTGGCTCATTTTGCTGTGCACCAAGTGTAGTATGTTGTAAACTGTAGTTTTTCAATTTTGAGGGTGGTTTTGTGATATCTGCCAGATACAAGAAATCAGAGATAATACCTTGCTTATTCAGTATTTGTATGCTTAATCTCAGAAGTTCATGGGTTGTGGGGATTCAGATAGGAATATTTCAGAACAGTAGCTCATACTAGAAATCACTAACACACGTTTATGTCCAGGAAGAAGACTGTTAGTCAAGGTAGTTTTGTATGTAATAGGATAAAATTCTGGATGACTGGAAATCATTATATGTTGTTTGTGTATTGGCTCGTTACAAACTGTGCATCACATCTAAATTAGTATAATAGAATTTTAATAAATACAAGCTTTCTTTTTATGTATTCTATTCTTGTGCAACTTAGGGTTTGTTTACCATTTCGTTCTGGCTTGTAGTCATAACCTGTATCTCTTTTTCCACACTGAACTCAGGCTGTTTGCCATCTGTATACTTTCGTGTTGTTTTTAAAATTGATCATGTTATTGGGATGATGTTTATGTAATCAAGATTTTGTTTTGTTAGGGCAGCTTTTGATGCTGTTGATTCTCTCATTCGTGAGAATGCAGACAACTCTTTGATTAGTCTTTTAGTAGGTTAAATGTCTTTTTTATAAAATGCCAATGTGAGATTTGAAATCTTGGGTTTTGTTGGACAATTGCTCAGATACCACAGTGTTTTTTCTAGTAACACATTAATAGGGAGGTTCTGGGTCATGTTCAGCTGAACAAATGTCTTCCAGTTCTCCCAAGGATGCTGTGTGTTTCTCTTTTTCAAGACTGTGGAGCTGCCAGGCGCTTCTAACTATTGCAGCACTATTTCTACCTGCCACAGGTCTTTTTCCACTACTGGTTCCAAATTGCTATGCCAGCATCCTTGTTTTTCATGTTGTAGTTACCGTGTGAAGCTTAACTGATTGCTTGGACCCTTTCAAGCTTCCACCATCCTGGTTGCTAGAGAAGCAGTAGGTGATCCCTGCTCTGTGCTGCTCCAAGCTACCGACTCTTGGAGGCAGAGTCTTTGGCTAGATTCTTTTTCACTGTAGGATGAATAATGTTGATATTGATTAAAAATTAATTAGAAATAGACCAAAACTTGTTGCACATCAGTATAATACTCGATAAACTGTCCATAGTAACTTAAATGTAAGATTTTTTTGATTTGTTCCTTCCTGTTTCCTTATAGATCATCAAGATCATAAATTCAAATAATGTAGTATTTAAAATTACCCTGATGTAAAAGTGTGAGATTTTCTGCCTGTCATGGTGTTCTCAAATTCCTTTTGAGAGATGGAAGCACTGAAACAAGGTCTCTTTTTAAATCTACATCAGCTGTGCTTCTCTTCAGATTGGTCAGTCATGCTTACACATAATAAACCACATCAACCCTTTTTGCGGTTGGGTTGGAGCACTAAGAGCAGGCTCCCGCTGAATGATCCCTGCATTTGAGAGCTGAGCTATTGCCAAAAGTCATACCTTGTATACGTTTTAATCTCTAAGTAGGTGGCAATTTTGACTAACATTTTTAATAGAGTAGATGCAACTCAGTTACTTGTCACTGAGCAGTAGGTAGGGGTTGGGTTGGTGGGCATCAGGGTTTGGTGGGGTTTTGTTGCTGGTGCAGGTTTGGCACTCCCTGTAGCAGAAGGGAGAAGCTGGTGAGACTGGCAGCTTCCTTTCAGGCTTCACAATTAACATGTATTTCTTGGAAACACAAGAGGCTTATAAATTAGTGTTACATTTTTAAAGTAGCTAGTCCCTAAATATTCTTTAAATAGCTTTTGAGAAAGTTAAGGATTGATAATTGTAGCATTTTGTTACTATTAGCTCTGTCTGTTTATATGAACAGGTACAATTTCACAAAGGTATTCAGGCAAAGTGACTGCACTTTTTTCTAGTCATGTAAGCCATGTGCTGTAAAAATCCATTAAGAATGAGCAGGAGCTATAAAACTTTTTTTCTCTTTAGGTACATACATTTTGAATATTCTAAGTAAAGGCAAAAAAAAGAACATTATAAAGAAAAGTTGACGGTTTCTTTTTTTAAAAAACTGAATGTTTTAGTGGGCAGAGAAGTGTAATTTGCTACATATACAACCATTGAGTGTACACTGGCATGGTTATTCTTTCAGTGCAGGCAAATACTAAGTAAAAAAACTTCACTGAGGTTTTGTACTTCTGTTCTGTTGCCAGCTTCATTATTACTTTTCACATGCTTCACACTTCCATAGTTTCATCTGGTGCACCTGTCTGACTGTGTTTTGATTTAATGATTGGGGGGGAGGTCTCTGCAGTAAAGCTTTAGACATACCAGATGAAAATTGATAGTACTTACTTTGTAGCAAATATTCCATGGTGCATGTATTTGACCACGAAAAGTTTATAAGTGAATTAGGATGTATGTCTTCTTGATTCTCTGACGTGATCAGCTTACTTATTGAAAAAGAAGCAGAAATTTTTATGTAAATGAAAATTAGAAGTATCAGTTCAGCTACTGCGCTTAACCTGTACTTCTGCACCAGCAGAAGTTTAAATTGGTCTTGTGGTTTCTGTGTCAGATTGTTGTTGTATAAAAGAAAATATCTTAAATAACTTGTACTTAAGAATTCTTACATAATGTCTATTAATGGGGGTGGGAAGACGCGTGTTTGTCTGGCTATTGTCACACAGCAATTGGTACTACTAGGTCATTTTAATATCCTGTTTAGATTTCTGCCTTTCAGAATGTCTTTGATTTTATATAGTATTTTAGTTTTTAATAAATATATGTTTTTAGAAAGTAGTTTGTATGTGGTGATACAAAGTATTTTTTTAAAAAAACTATTTCTCTGGAAAAAATGAACTATACCTTTATGAGTGCCTCTTCGTGCTTTTTGTGAGAGTGCAACTTTGCATGCTGGTGAGACGTGTTCTAGGTTATGCATGTGGCAGTGTTCTGAGCTGCTGTACTTGGAAGCTTTCTCTGTCATCTTCAGTGACCATAGTGTTAAAATAAGCAAAATAATTCCTGGCTTAGTGCCTTTATACTTTTTTTTACTCTTCTGCTTAATGAAGTAATAATACTAAATTTATAATAATGCTGTTGGACTTTCCTTCTTCCCTTTAGATCTGAACCACAGTGGTCTAGGATCTCATTATGAAAATTCTCACTGGGGACCAGTCTCTTCAAATAGTGACTCCAGCACAAACTGGGATAAAGTTATTGTAGACGGCTCTGACAAAGAAGCATGGCCATCAATCACTGGCAGTGACCCAGAGTTGACATCAGAATGTATGGACACTGACTCTGCCTCTAGCTCTGGGTCAGAGAGAAACCTCGTTATAATGGCTTCAGGGAGCACAGGTGGTGAAAATGATGGCATTCGAAATGGCATTGGACATGGTTCTCAAAATAAGTTTGTGGTTGGTAGCAACAGCAATAATGTGGGCAATGGAAGTATTAATGGGCCGTGGGGTTTATCCCATGGAACCATAATAAGCACATGTCAAGTTTCTGTGGATGCTCCTGACAGCAAATCTGAAAGTAGCAACAATAGAATGAATGCTTGGGGCACCATAAACTCTTCATCAAATGGAGGGTTAAATCCAAGCACTTTGAATTCAAATGGCAACCATGGTGCCTGGCCTGTATTGGAGAACAATGGACATGCCCTGAAAGGGTCTGTAGGGAGTGGTAATCCTGGCACAAATATTCAGTGCAGTACCATAGGTCAGATATCTAATAGTCAGAGTATTAACTCTAAAGTGGGTGGTTCAGCCCATGGTTCCTGGGGAAGCCTTCAGGAAAATTGTGATTCTGAAGTAAATGGTACAAGGAAGGTTTCATTCAGTGGGCAACCTCAAAACCTTAACACTGAAATGAATGGACCAAATAACACTACTAACTTTATGACCTCTAGTTTACCAAACTCTGCTGGTTCAGTGCAGATTAACGAACTGCCTAATAATACAGGGCATGGGGCCTGGCGTGTGAGCACAATGAATCATTCTCAGATTCAGGCCTCTCCAGTTACAAATGGCACTTCCATTTCTCATCTGAGCAATGGTGAGGCGAAAAGTGGTGGATCTTATGGTACTACATGGGGTGCCTATGGTTCTAATTACTCTGGAGACAAATGTTCAGGCCCAAACAGCCAAGCTAATGGTGACACTGTGAATGCAACTCTAATGCAGCCAGGCATTAGCGGGCCTGGCAGCACTAACTTTCAAATCAATGGGAATAAAGGCGGAGGGGTATGGGAGGCAGGGACAGTCAACTCCCAGAATATGCCATGGGGAAGTGGAAATGGTGCAAGTGCTGGCGGGAGTAGAAGAGGATGGGGCAATCCTGCACAAAACACTGGCACTAACATTTCAAATGGGGAGTGGAGTAAACTGCCTAGTAATCAGCATTCCAATGAAAGTGTGAATGGAAACAGCAGGAAGTTTACAAATGGATGGAAATCTACTGAGGAGGATGACCTTAACAGCCAGACTTCTGCTGCTTCTCAGATAACTGAGCAGAACAGCGCATGGGCCAAAACAGGTACGGGGGACAGCGAAGGTAGTTCGGAGAGCACTGGATGCCATGAAGATAGAGTAACTACAGAAGGACAGAATCGAGAGAGAAGGAAAGTTGACCAGCATGCATTACTCCAAAGTATAGTGAACAGAACTGACTTAGATCCGCGTGTCCTTTCCAACTCTGGTTGGGGACAGACTCCAATCAAACAGAACACTGCCTGGGATACTGAAACATCACCAAGGGGTGAAAGAAAAACTGACAATGGGACAGAGGCCTGGGGAGGCTCTGTGACACAGACTTCCAGCTCAGGGGGATGTGTGGATAGACCGAGCCCTAATAATAATGATACCTCATCTGTATCAGGGTGGGGAGATCCAAAGTCTGCTACAAGGTGGGGAGACTCCAAAGGGTCAAACAGCCAAGGGGGGTGGGAAGAAGATTCTGCTGCTACAGTAATGGTCAAGAGCAATCAATCATGGGGAAGTGGCAAAGAGGAAAAGTCATCTTGGAATGATGCACAGAAGATCAAACAGGGATGGGTAGATGGACAAAAGGCCAGCCAGGGTTGGGCAGTTTCTGCTGGTGATAACTGGGGTGAAAATTCAAGAAGTAACCATTGGGGTGAGGCTAAGAAATCCAGTTCAGGAGGTAGTGACAGTGACAGATCAGTGTCTGGTTGGAATGAGCCAGGTAAATCAAATTCTGTTACTTGGGGAGGTAATAATACAAACCCAAATAATTCTTCAGGATGGGATGAGCCTGCAAAGTCTAATCAGAACCAGGGCTGGGGAGACCCTCCTAAATCCAATCAGCCTCAAGTTTGGGGGGATTCATCAAAGCCAATCAACTCTCCAGAATGGAACAAACAAGATGTTGGCTCTTGGGGAGCACCATCTGCCACAAACAAACCCCCAGGGTCAGGCTGGCTGGGTGGACCAATGCCAGCACCAGCAAAGGAGGAAGAACCCACTGGCTGGGAGGAGCCATCCCCTGAATCAATACGCCGTAAAATGGAAATTGATGATGGAACTTCTGCTTGGGGTGATCCAAGCAAATACAACTACAAAAATGTGAATATGTGGAATAAAAATGTCCCAAACAGTAGCAGCAGTTCCGACCAGCAAGCACAGGTACATCAGCAGCTACTGTCTTCAAGTGCCATGTCTAGCAAGGAGAGCAGTTCGGGTTCTGGTAAGACTTGGTTTTATGCAAATTTGTGTTTTCTGTTAATTGTAAAACAATACTTTTTGTTCTTTCTTCATATAACAATATTTTAGTTTCAAAGTTGAAAGGGGAAGGTGCCAGTGAAGTACCATTTTTATTTATTAAAAAAAAAAAGTAACAGCAATGCTCACAGACATTTGATATTTTTATATAGATTGGAAGATCTGTTCTAGTTTTAAATAGCTTGAGTAATAAAGACTAGACAGCTCTACTTGAATTCTGGGGTGTGGAAACACAGAGAAAATATTTAAAGTGGTATCTGAGGAATGAAAGTATTTTTCTTCATTTGATTCTAAAACAGTTAAAACTTAATGTTGCCAAAGAGGCCCCGCCCAAAAAAAGCATTGAGTTGCTACAAGACAGAATGAAGGGTGGTGGTTTTATATGAACTCAAGATCAGACTTTCTGATCTTGTAGTTTTGGGCGCGGTGAATAATGATACTTGCAGATGAGTTTGCGTGGTTTTTATGAAATATTTTGTGCTCTGTCTCTTTTTCGAGTGCAAGAGTAGCATAAATACAATGAGCAGCTCTTAGGAACTTAGTATCTTAGAATTTTCTACTATCAAAATTTAATTCTTTACATATGAAATTGGTATTTTTGTAATTTTTTTTATGGAACAGCTTACAGTTGTAATAATAACCTTCATACAAAATGTAAATGTGTACTAATATGGTTTTTATTGTACATTATGGATCTAGAAAAGGCAAAACACTTCAGTCTCTTTAGATAGCTTTTAAAATCCTGTTTAAAAACATGCCAATAACTCATACTGCTTTAAAAAGGTTGGGGAGAGCCTTCTACTCCAGCCACTACTGTAGATAATGGAACTTCAGCGTGGGGTAAACCCATGGATACTGGTACTAGCTGGGGAGAACCCATCAGCGATGCAGCAGGCACCTCTGGCTGGGGAAATGCTTCTCTTGGTCAACAGGCTTCAAATAAACCTGGTGAGTGCTTTCTGCATCATTTTTTAATAAAGGTATTTGAGGACGGTGAAATACCTCTATAGCAGCTTTATGTTTTTGGAGGCTTTTTTTTATCTTGCAGTAAACATCAAGCTAACTTCTGTGTTAAGGACAGTCAGTTGCTACTGAAATGTTAATGTGCTGGATTTTTTTCACAACCAGGGCCTAAATCTATGCAAGATAGTTGGTGTGGAGATGATATGCCATTGACAGGCAGTCGTCAGACCAGCTGGGAGGAAGAGGAGGATGTAGAGATTGGAATGTGGAACAGCAGTTCTTCACAAGAAGCTAACCCATCTTTAAATTGGCCACCATATATGAAAAAAATGCCCACAAAGGTAATGAGGAAGTTGAGTCAAGGTTTTTGTGCTGCTGTCATTTCTAAAAGCTAAGTCAGAACAGATTGCTGCACTGAGTGGAGTACGTTAAGCTTTAATCTTCATTCATAACATTTTATGATGCAATTTAAGCAGTAGGTGGTAAACATCTTCTGAGTATCACAGGAATTCCTTTCTATTTTTAAGGGAATAATGAAAGGTGGAAATAAGCAAGATGAAACATGGATCAATCCATTCATTAAGCAATTCACAAATCTCAGTTTTTCAGTAAGTATTTACCTTTACCTGGCTTTACTGCCTTCCTACAATGCTAGTTATAATGCACAAAGTTTAAAATGCTTTATTGCCTAGTGTTCACTTTCATCGTGTTTTTCTTTTTACTTATGTTTGTCTCCCCTCTGTCACCCATCCCCATTCTTTGCATCCTCATTACAAAAAGACCTATTTATTGATGAAGAGTGGTTTTGTAAACTCTATCCAGGTATTCATCCAGTAGTCTGATGTTTTACTTAATGTTACGTACATATTTTGGTGATGATACCCGTTTTCAGTTGGGTAACAGCTAAAGGGAGAATATGCTTTAAAGTAGCATCTGATTTGTCTCGATTTTTTTTTTTTCTTGCAGGTTTGAATTGAAATAGTATATAGGAATCTCTTTGTTTTAGCTTTTAAAAATATTATTATTCAATAATTATGATTCATTTTATTACTTCAGAGAGAATCACCAGAAGAAACCATACAGAGCAATAAGATGGACATGTCTGGAGGTAAGAATAGGAGAACCTAGCTGGGGTTTATTGCTTTCCTTTCCAGTCTCTCTTTTAGTTTATCTCCTTCTGTAAATTACTTTTTAAAAATGTATATATAATATGTATAGTTATTGCTATATATAGTTAAATACATGTTTCCCTAAAGAAAAGGAGTAGAGAAAAAAATTTGTGCATGTGAGTAATGCTACACACCTGAATTGCCTGGTTGCTATAGTAATATTATCCATAAATCAAGCTAAGCTTATATGTATTAAGGTGACATGAAAGAATGTTTTCAGGGTGTGGTGGGTTTGTTTCTTGTAATATAAGTAAGTATCTAGCTTGCCTTCTGGATACCTTCACAAAATATAAACAGAAATGTTCCGAATACCACACTTGCTCATTGTGGTTCATTCTTGGAAACACATTTTTAGTTCTAAGAACTAAATTAATACTGAACAGTTATTCTGGAAACTTTTAAACCTGAGTGTAAAATTACTTGTGAGCAGTTTTATTTTTATTTGAATCCATTGACTGTTATGATTTCTCTAGCAAATCAAAAATAGTATAATGCTTTAATACATTAAGAACAATATATTATAACAATAGAATATTTAATTAAGAGTAATTGTAGCATTGTAGTTTTTATTGTAGTTGCACTGATTTTATTCCAGTTTAGAATTGGGTATTTTCACTTTTGGGCTCTATTGTGTAAAGAAATTGTTCTTTGAATTTTAGATTTTAATATTAATGGCAAGCCTAATTTTTAAATTATTTCAGTTTTTTTTAATTTGAATTTAAAACTTCTGCTTGGAAAGTAATTCTCTTACACTGCATGCAGTGAAGTACTAAATGGACTTCTTTATTACTGCTTGTATTTTGATCTTCTAACTTGCCTAGTGGAATTAATGATAAGAGATAACTTAAAATTTGCTTATAATAAACACAAATACTTTAAATTTGTGAGGTTTTTTGTTTGGTTGTTTTTTTAGCTAAATAGTTTTTTTCTTAACTGAATCAAAATAAAGGGCCTCTGAAATATTACCCAAATGTGTAGGGGATGTGATAAAGATACTACTTCAAGACAGTGCTTGTCTTCAAGCCAAGACAGTGCTTTATGGCTACGAAAAAAAAAACCAACAGTGGCATTCACAACTGGAAACTCAAGTTTAAACAATTATACTTTCTTGTTTTTAAGAGGAAACTGAGAATAATATTTTTGTGAAGTCTAGCAAAATCTGTTGACACTTTGGTGATTCCAAGTGTTAAGCTGTCTGTAGCCATTGCTTTATGGTGTTCCCTTTCCCTTTTCAGTAAAGCCCAGAGAGTTTAAAGCTAAACTGATGTTTTCTTTTATTAGTATCTAGCTTGGGACCAGTGTTACTTCAGCTCTTCATAAGCATAAACTGGTTTCTAGTGTATCTGGAAAACTGAATAATCCTTCAGTGTTGTAGTCACATCTCTCACCTTTTCGTAGGGTTATTGCAAGATAAGCGGATGGAGATGGATAAGCATGGCCTCAATGTTGGAGATTACAATCGTGTGGTTGGAAAAGGCCCTGGTTCTCGTCCTCAAATTTCCAAAGAGTCTTCCATGGATCGCGGTCCTTACTTTGATAAGGTTAGTAGGTGTCTTACTGGTGGACACTTCTAAACTTCTTTGACTCTGTATTCTAAGTAGTTACACGTGTGCTCCTTAGCTTTCTGCGTTTAGTGGAGAGGAAGATTAGGGCTTTCTTGTTAATCCATGAGATATGTTTTGTTCTTTTTAACTTACTGATATATAATACTAAGCACTTTCTGTAGCCCATTTGTAGTGCAAATGACTAACCTGATCTCTTTTGTTTTCTGCCTGTTTCCTGCTGGTGCTGGACTGTCATGTGACTCTTCCCTTCTGTTCCTGGCAATGGTTTCTCCCTTCTGCTTGCTTGCTGGCTGGTTGTTGCGCATCGGTTTGTCTGTCCAATCAGGATGGCATTGTAGCAGACGAGTCCCAAAACATGCAGTTTATGTCCAATCAAAACATGAAGCTTCCCCCTTCAAATAATGCACTACCTAACCAAGCCCTTGGCTCCCTAGCAGGGCTGGGTATGCAAAACTTGAATTCTGTTAGACAGGTAAGGCTGTGTGCATATCCTTGGCATGTTACTTGACAACATTTAATACCTTTTGATATAACATCCTAGCTACCTATGTGGTTGATATGTGTTTAACTTCTAATTCAAATGTATAGGGGTGGGAGAAGCAGCAAAAGAGGTTTATTGTCACTAACTGTCCATCCTTTCTCCAGAATGGCAATCCCAGTATGTTTGGTGTTGGTAATATAGCAGCACAGCCCAGGAGCATGCAGCAGCCTCCAGCACAACCTCTTAATTCATCTCAGCCTAATCCACGTGCTCAAGTGCCTCCTCCATTACTATCCCCTCAGGTAACTGAGTACATAAAATATTCTGGGTATAAACTACCAAAATGCTACTTCAGAAGATTGTTCTTTGTCTGTTGGTGTTGCTGATATTTATTCTGTAAATACTTGAAAACATATTTGGCTTGATGAGTGTTTCAGAAACTAGACAACTGTTGGCCAGGGATTATAATATTCTGCATCTAGTATAATTAATTGCACGTTACTGTCAGTCACTCTTCATACTGGTCCATTTTGCAGGTTCCAGTATCATTACTGAAGTATGCACCAAACAACGGTGGCCTGAGCCCACTTTTTGGCCCACAACAGGTAGCCATGTTGAATCAACTGTCCCAGTTAAACCAGCTTTCTCAGATCTCCCAGTTACAGGTAAGCTAACAAAGCTAGTCGCTCTGTGTTCTGTTTGAAAGTCTAAGTAGAGACTTACGTCAGCTATAAACTGTTCTTAAAAAAAACACCACAAAACACTGTCTCCTAGCGGTTGTTGGCTCAGCAGCAAAAAGCGCAGAATCAAAGAAGCATGCCTTCTGGTGGTCGTCAACAGCAGGAGCAGCAGGTAAATACATACGTTTATTATTAACTTTTCAAACTATCTTTATAAACTGCTTGTCGTCCTGAGCTGCATTTCTTGTTATAAATTGTATTAAAGTGTGCAAGAGTGAATGGGATTTTCACAAGCTTTAAAGGAGTGACTTAGCTTAATGCTGGGGTTTTGCTGTGCTAAGACGCACGGAGCACAAAGATGCGTTTCATTATCTATCTTTAAATGTGGAAGAGCTTTTGCCTATTTATATTGTAACTGCTCTGTTTTTTCAAGGGTCGATCTCTTAGTATGCAGCAACAGATGATGCAACAGTCCCGTCAGCTTGATCCAAACCTGTTAATGAAGCAGCAAACACCACCCTCTCAACAGCAGTCACTCCATCAACCCACCATGAAATCTTTCCTTGAGAATGTCATACCCCATGCTACTCCTGAGCTACAAAAAGGGCCATCACCAATAAATGCATTCAGCAGCTTCCCTATAGGTGGGTTTCTCCATGCTAATTTCATACAGTCAATTAATGCTTATATGACACACAGCCTTTCTTTTCACATTGCCTGCCTCCTCTGAAAACAATAGTGATTGTAATCCTGTTAGCAGTTACAATTTTAATGGAAGTAGTAATTCTTTGTGGGGCTTATCCACTTATCTTTGTTCACCAAAGAACTTTTTTCACAAGTGAACTCATTCCCAGAAGTGACTGTCTGTATTTCAGTGCAAAATACTTTACATTCTTAAAGAATGTCTGTCTCCTTTTATTTCTTTTTTATCCTCTGGGTCCCAAGGATGGTGCAAAGTCCTTTTGCAGTTATGATTCCTGGAGCTAAAAGACTTTTAGAAGTAGAATCCATACAAAGAATCCATTGATGTGGTCTCATTTCTTTGGATTTTAGAAACATTTTCAATGAATCTGGAATTGTATTGGTAGAACAAAATGTTTATTTCTCTTTTAGTGATTTTGTCCAGGAAAGAAAGCTTTTAGCTCTGCATTTTTAAAGAATGGTTGTCTCATTTCAGGCAAAATGTCTGAACATTTATAAATACAAACATCTCCTGTTTCTTTCTCCCTACGTTTCCAGGCTTCTGTCCAATTTCTACTTCAGAAATTCCAGGCTTGTATATTTTCTCCTTACTTTAGGTCCCTTTTTAATGCTATCTTATACTTACTACGACTGTATACGATTTACCTCTTGTTCCTTTTCCCTATTTTTTTCCTCCTCTTCAGTTTGCTTTTCTTCTATGTTATTCTAACCTGGTCATTTCTGTTGGGCTGATTTCCTCTGCATTCTCATTGCCCTTTGTAGAAAAATTTGTTTAATAGAGACTGCTGCTGACATCCTTGTGCTTATAGGTGGAGTGTTATGGAGCCAGTGGGTCGGTGCAGGCCATGCTGTTGCACTGCATGTGGCACACTGGAATTTTGCTTGTGGCCAGTCTTAAGTCCAGGCTGCTGCTTAATAGCTGATGATGATGATTGGCATTAAGATCTAACTACTGCTTTCATTCAAAGAGCAAGGCATAAAAATGAAGTTTGTTTAGCTATTAGAGATACTATGTTAGGTCTAATGAAAGGAATATTTAACTTTCTCACCAAACTTCATGCTGAGTAATTGCATCCTGCCTACATTAGGTTCTTTTCTGTTTCATTTCTTGAGTTGAATTGTTGTAGACGATTAAGTAGTTGCTTTCTCCCCTTAATCATTGCCACATTTCAGGAACGTGCAGTGTATGTAAGATTGCTTTGAGATCCCTCAGGAATCTGCTGCAGTATACGCAAGAATTCTTTGGGATCCCATTGGAGTAGTACTGTATCGTGATGTAAGCAAGTGGAGCCACACTCAGTCCACAAATAAAAGCTTAAGGGTAGAAATAGTAGGTTGCTGGAATTTCTTCACCCTTTAGTGAAAAACTGAGTCAAGGGGCATATTGGTAGCATCCTCCAAGTGCACAAAGTATAGTAGCATAGTCATGTGAGGAGGAGCTGAACTTACCAAGTCGTCTTCTGGAAAATCTTGCAGGTATGTTATTTTCTCCATGTTCTGATATTAGCATCAGGAGACCTAGCAATGAAAGCAGGGAGGTCCTGTTAACATTCTGGGGAACTGAATTTGTCAAGATTCACTAGATATTTGTTCATCAAAAGCAGAGATTGGGGGTGAGTGGGGCGTGTCCTTCTCTCTAATTGACCAGTGCTGCAGTCACATCCTGATTCATTTATAGAATTAAGTATTTCTAATATTAAAAATACCTTTTTCTGCCAAATAGCGAGTATAGCTGAACAATCTAAAATCTTCCACAATTGAATATGAAAAATTACATCTGGGAAGACTGTTTAAATTAAAGATTATGTTCAGGGACTGATGTTCATCCCTCAGTCCACAGGTTTCAAATATGGAGCTATGGACATACATCTGTGCCTGCCGGGGGGGGGCTGGCATTAACTTTATCAGCCAGATGTGCCTATTTGCCCACTTGTGATCTTTCTAACCCTTCTTTTAGAGGTCTGTCTTCTGCAAGCTTCTTCAGAGTTAGAAGAAAGTTTATTGTTGTGCACAGGTTATTGCTCTGACAACAGCAAAATGCCAGAGGGAGAGGTGTCAGAAACTGGATTGACTTTTTCCTTTTTTCTGTTTCAGCTATTGATAGTTGTTGTATTTCTTAAAACTCGGCTGTCCTGTTCCAAGGCACTTTCTCTGAGGCTTTTCAAGGGGCTGCTTTTCTTGCATCGACATCTGCTCATGCCTTTAAGAAAAACAAATGAAAAAAACAACCAAACAAACCAGCTTCTATATAGCAGTGAATATCAACTTAGAAACAAAATTAAGCACTAGTTTCCAGTGCTGAATGAAGTTGTTTCTAGTAGAGTTTTGAGAACTTCACTTTGTGTCTCTAGGCCCAAGTTAAAATGTTGTAGTGGTTTATTTTCAGAAATGAAGTAAATAGATCTGAAGGGCTGGAAATGTAACCAAGTATGGTTGTGAATTAAGGATTCTTACAGACCTGGAAAGAGAGCAGGCATGCCAAAGTCAAAAGCGTGGGCATATTGTTCAAGCCCAGAGCAGCTGGTTCTCACAGGTATTTTGATTGATTTGGGTTGGCATTGTGTTGATTCTCTGGCAGATAAACATTTTGGAATACAGACAACAGCTTAGAACAGGGGAAGACAAGTTTTGTTTGTTTTCTCTTATTGAGGTTTTAATACAGCGTGAACAGGATAAATAGAGGAGGGGAGCAGTATTACTTGTGCAGTTCCAGTGTGGTTCAGAAGCTGGCGAGGTGTCCTGCTGAACAGCCCAAATAAAAATGGGAATGAGGTTGTAACTGCAGGTACCAGTATATAACTTCTGCTGAATAGGGATGAGTACAGACAAACATTCCTGCTGAGAAAAATGTCTTTTATAACTGAGCGTAGCTCTTCAAAGTACAGTACTACTACTTTGTACAGATGAGATCAGTTGTGCTGGTGTTAGAAATGCCACTTTTTTTAGACGTTTACGTTTTAGTTTTACTTCCTCAATGGCTTCTTCCACTGACATTTTTGCATGAAGACATCAGCTGAGAACTTCAGAGTGCTTTGCATTGCTTAGCTTAGCTTCTGTCTGTAGTAAGTTCACTGTATTATATGCTAGAATGTTTCTCAAAAAACAGAGACTTGGAAGCATGAAATGACCATAGTAATATGCTCTTAAATGTTTATTAGGACAATAGTGGTAATTAGCAGAAGAGAAACATTTAGTCTGTATTTCATAAGCTTATATATATTTTCAGGAATGAACTCAAACTTGAATGTAAACATGGATATGAGCAGTATTAAAGAGCCACAATCTCGACTGAGGAAATGGACTACAGTAGACAGCATTTCTGTGAACACATCTTTAGATCAGAACTCCAGCAAACATGGTATGTTGAACATGTCATTAAGTAGCATTTGACATTGCACATCAGATTTTCATGTTCTGGGTATAAAACGCAGGTTTGCTGTATATAGGTCTGTACTTGTAACTACTGTGTTGCTTGTAGCTGTCAGAATTTGTATTGCGTTGCCTGTGTCAAACTTGCTGCTTGTCTTGTACAGCAGCCCATAGCTTTCTTGAATGTTTTTACTTACAGAAGTGATCTTGTGATGAGGTTTAGTAGAAATGTTGTACAGAATTCCTTTTTAACCAGACTTTTCTTTAAGTGTGACTATTGCTACTAGCTTTACCTTAATCTGGACTGGAATGCTTCATATATTTTTAAACCAAAAGCTTTAGATTTTCTAGCTTTCTTTCCCACCACCCTACTGGCCTTAAGGTGATTTATGGGGATTTAACTCTGAGTACACGTGTTCTGGTCATGTCTGACGTTCTTAGTTACGGGTTTTGGTTATGAATGTGTACATTTGCATTCTAAAAATGGAGAGAGCTTAGAAGGGATAGACTAGTACCATTGCTGTACTTAGTTTTAGAGGAGGTGCACTTGGTTGCTTCATACTTCATTCCAGTAATCAGGATTCATATGACATTTCAACTGTTTTAGTTGCTTGAAATCTCATCCAGTTAAAATTTAACTGTATAGCACAAAGGTGCCATGTCTAAAGATAGTTATAAAATGTCTCCAGTCTCCTATTACGGTTCAGTCTTCAGATTGTTTGGATATTTTTAGATTTGTCAGCTGTTTTACTACTATGAAATTACTTGCTGCCTTAAGCATCTAGTGGAGATACCCTGATACTGCAGCTCTGAACTTCATCTGATTGTTGCAGATGAACAGAATTCAGAAGTGTTGGTGTTACTTTAGCTGTAGGTAATGTTTTCTGAATAGTATTAGGAATTTGATTATTTGAACTCCATATTGCATTGAATCACTAGTAAAAATCATTTATTCCCTCAGAACTGTAGTAATCTTTGGCTTTGCTGTCTAATAACTTTTAAACTTGTCCATACAGGATTTGCACAGAATCAAATAGGTTCTGTACAGTGCTTTTGTTCCTTGCTCTGCCTCCAGTGATCTTTTTCATTTTATTTTTTCCCCCCCCTTGCAGTAATATGTGTAGAGTTTAGAGCTTTGTAGTAGCTAAAGATCCTTCAGATTTTGTAGATGTTTCTTCCAAGAGCCCTCCCATCACAGAATGTGTTCACTACCCCTGTTATCCAGTTGGGGTCTCACAGAATGCCCTTACCGTCTTGAATTAATATTTTAATTTAAATTTAATAAGTACACTATTTTAATGAAGTTATTTCATGGGAGATTATTCTTACAGTTTTCTCCTGAATTATTCAGAGACATTTCATTTTAGATTATATACTCCTGTATGACTTCCTATATAACTTGACATCATAAGAGGACAGTATGCTGCTGTATTTCATGAATGCTTTACAAAGGCATGTTTTTTATATCTATTTATGTATATAAAAATGGCTATGAAAAATACTTGACAACTCTTTTTTCTTTTTAATTAGGTGCTATTTCAAGTGGTTTTAGGCTGGAAGAGTCTCCATTTGTTCCATATGACTTTATGAACAGCAGTAATTCACCAGCCAGTCCTCCTGGATCTATTGGGGATGGCTGGCCCCGTGCCAAATCGCCTAATGGCTCTAGCAGTGTTAACTGGCCACCAGGTACACAACGCCAGTGCTTGCTCTTTGCATGGTTCTTTCTGTTCAGCTGTGTTTCTTCTGGGTTCCTTGGTCACTACGTGTAGAGGGGGGCAGGGAACAGCCTACAGAAAAGCATTAATACTGTGTTTTTAGCAGATCGAAATTGAGAGCAGTAGTTTTATTGTACAAAGAGAACTATGTCCCTGCTTTGAGATTTTACCCTGGTGAGACAGGACCAGAAAAACTAGAAATGAAGTTAATAAAGTGAAAATAAGACTAAATTAAGTCAGTTAAATGCTTAAAAGGTTTTGGA